GAAAAAACGGAGAAAACAATCAAAATTCTTTCACATAGTAAGTTTTGATTTATTGTTATTTTTGGACTGCAAAGTGGGAAATAAAAAGTGAAAAAATATAATTAAGCATGCAAATCAGTATAACATCAATCAGAAAAGCACTGATACCCAACATCTACTGGGAAACACATGCTCACGAAGAACAGTTAACAATATGATGAATAATTTAGCCTCTCAACATGTTCTTATACATTTGTTTCACATGTTCACGATGCAATTCAACACCAATGGCTGCTTGTTTTAAAGACTATACTGCAACTTATTCAAACAAAATGACCAAATAAAGAAGAACTATCAAAGTCAAAATCAATGTGCACCATTGTTGTTAAATGTTTCAAGAATATTAGAACAATCTAAAATCTTTTTGAGCCCACAAATTACCACGTCATCGGACATACAATAATCTTACTTGASATGCGCACATTTGAGTAAATTTGTGTTCGAACAAGAATGTTTTGAAAAGATTTGATATCATRTTGGTTAGATTATTTCAAATTATGACTAAACCATAAGCTTTATTTGAAACAAACTATTTTCCCCGACATTTGTATGGGACTGAACTTGCAATCTGTGGACATAAACCATTTTTCACTGCGTCTGAAGATGGGGATTACCCACGTTTTATGAGGAGTCAACCCATGAATCTTTCTTGTCAATCTACAAAATATGGCACAAGAAGTCACGGTCGAAGGTCTCAAAATCCGTCCTGCCAACCCTRCTACAAAGCTGGTAAATGCTTTTTCATCATATGGTCAGCAAGGGAAATGCATTATGTTTGATCAACTTGTTAGGCGTCCCTTCGATCGCTTCAGTTATAGATCGTCCATCTTGGTAAGTGCATTTTTATTTCACTACGAAAAATAAAATTTAGCGTCATCGATAATCCTTTTGGTTTTATTAACTTTCAACCGAATAAAWGAAAGCTTATAAAGTTCAAAATGTAAATCATTGTGATGGAAGTTCTTTACTTCGCCTCTAAACGATAAGACATTGTGCTTTGTTTGTCATGGAATTTTTATTGCCTCCTTCCTTAAATACTACTCAAATTGTGCATTTTTGAACTGGCATTAATGTAAATCTAGCCTACCAACCCTCCGAAGAATCGYCAAGTGACAAAACAGAAGTATGACCTTTATATTAATCCATAATTTTGACATCGGCCTGTTAGGCGTCATACTTAAAATTGAGTGACCTTTCAATTGTACAATCTTGATGAACTCTAACCATTTTGAAGAATTTTAAATTAACTCTTTGATACTTTCGATGTATAATTTGAAACAATTGATACACTGGCAGTCATAT